TGGAAAACCCTAAAATTCAGCACCACATGAGAATGGTTGGAAATCAGTGATTTCCAACCAATGTCAGCTGCAAGGAAATCCCTGTAAGGCCACCACAGCACAGGTCACTCACAAGATCACTGACTGAAGCCCTCATGTCACACAGGAGACGCTGATTACTACAACTGTTTGAGCAGATTACTACAGCTCTCTGAACAGAAAATGCACCATTTTGTACCTCAATTTACATCTATGGGACAATATATACAATATTAATTTACTGGTATGAATTCTACCAGCTCTGAAGTTTTCTTGGTGGTAGTGTTGGGGGCTTTTTTTATGATCATTTAGTTTGGTTTGGTTTTGTCATATCTTTTTTTTTTTGATCACAGGRAAAGGAAGATACTCAGTTGTTTGAGGATGAAAGACAGAGCAACCTCTGGCTTCAGCTCAGCAATCTCTGCCTCTCCAGCTGGTGGAAAAGCAAATGCTAAGTGCACAGCTCGTTCTCCCCCAGCCACCACCTGCGCCAGGCAAAGCAGAGCAAGGCAAAAAGGAAGCCTTTCAGGCAGACAAACCATCTGCCATATATCGCTGCTGCGTAAGATATCAAAAGGGCAGCAATAAAAGCACTTTTGATGAGATCTAGCCAATGCTTCTGGTTTGGACCTCTAACTCAAGTTAAAAAGCAGGCACTGGAGGCAGRCGTGTGCATCCAGCAGCTCTCCAGAATCCGAGATGGTCTTTCTTTGAGTGTTTACTCCAGCTGCTTACATCCCCCGTTGCTGTAAAGACATCTAAAAAGTCAAGGTCTAAAGCTTATACTGTTGCCATTTTAGCGTTATTTGCTTCCAACTAGTACCAACTAGTACCAACTATTTGGATAGTACCAACTCCACCCCTAAATATCCAACCTAAAAAACAACCCCCTATCATCTGGGTACCACATCATCTATCCAAGAAAATTTTTACTCCCTCACAAAAATCAGAGAATTCATTAGTCTATTCCCCTCACCACCTACCATTTCTCACTTTAAGTGGAGAATATTTGTGATCTTATGCAATCAAGTCTCTAAAGCACAGCGAAAATTTGTTATTAGAATAGTTCATCACCACAGGCCTTTCCATCCTTCCTCCCACCCACCCACAGACTTTAAGGGAAATGGGTGTAGCTCACTGGGTAACAGAGGGAAACACGTTCAGCAAAGGGAGCTCACACGCCTGCACCAACACCACTTGGTACACAGATCTGTATCCCAGGTGAACTTGCTCTGTTACTAGGACAAACTAAACCATTTTAATTTACAGAAAAGTCAGCAGAAGATTATTTCAGAAGTTAAGAGGTCTAAAAGTCAAAGCATGCTAGAATTCTCTAGAAGAGAAAATGCTGACCAGCCTCTAGGTGAGGCTACCCAGCTCCCGGAAAGAAGCTGAAGTCAAAGGATTTGGCAATTACAAAACCAAGGCACTTAGATGTATTCAAAGTTCTCTCAATGTTATGGGTAATTTAACTCCTCAAACTGTGTCCGTGGGGCTCAGACTATTATTTCTTCCCCTTCAGCCTGAACAACTTGCAGCTCTTTAAATTCCTCCTCCTGCAGAGGAGAGATGGGAAGCAATGCACTGCAGTCACCAATGCCACACTGTGCTGGGCTGAAGATTGCATGATGAGAAAAGCCTTGTCACACTGACTGGAAGATCCAAGTTTTACACCTTCTTCACCAAAGTCACTACTTAATTACCTTGACAGACATAAGGTTATGTGTGCTACATCTCTGAAGCACGGTCTCCCACAAAGCATGACACCCAATATTCAAATCTCACGATCAGGCAGAACACATCCTTCCACTATCTTGCTAATGACCTTTGTTCTAAAACAAAGCAAATCCCTAGTACATTAAGCCCATTCTGSTAATTTCTTTAGCAATTTGTCTGAAGCTCTAAATAATTAAAAGGAAAGTTAGAGGACCTTTCACYGTCACAACAGCAAATCTGGCCCAACTAATTTTCCAAATGAATTGAGAATCCAGAGCCAACCATCCACACATTAGTCACTTGGCTAGCAAGGAGGACTTAACTTACACTAATGAATTTAAGACATCATTAAAATGTAATTTTAAGTTTAGCAATACACCAGGATGATCTACTGTAGTAAGAAAGAGCAGGATTGACACCACAGACTCAGCTTCTTGCCACTTATCACTAATAAATTAATATAAATTAAAAATCAATACAGCAGGGAAGTGCAAGATAAATGCTTATGTCCATGGAGAGAGAATTTGTYAGACGTATCATCCCTGTGCTGCCAGGCACATCACTAATTCTCCAGAATTTAGACCAGTAGCCCTCTGCAATTGATTCCTATCTCCTCATGCCCAAATCATCATCTCATTCAGACAGGACTAGTCTGGAGGAAGCCTGTTCCAGAGCTACTTGAGCTCTTCTGTATTTAAAAATTACCACAATGTGAATGGGAACACTTTTATAATTCATCTTGCACATCATATCCCAGGTTATTTGCAAGGCAACCGATAACACCAATTATCTCAGTCAGTCAAAATCCAAATTGTATCAGCCTCAGATGGAAAGCTGAAAATAAATGCAAAGGATCTGTTATGTGACAAAAGCCACACACTATCCAAGAGCAGCTTTTCCATTTTTCAGACTTGACCTCAGCAATGCTTRCTCAAGTTTTTGAGCAAAAAGCAGTGTGAAAATAAAAAAAAGTATATAAAGCTTTTTGACAAAAAAAGGTATTTCTCACAAATGCAGGTCTAAAGTTAAATTTTGACAAATTTACTATACAGTTGCACTTACCACAAGGAGGAAGGAAACCTGGTGCCTAGCAGCTGAGATTCCTTCTATATGACCTGCCCTTTAGGTATCGTTCATATACAAAATGCATAAATTTCACCATCATGACAACACAGAAAATATTCTCGAAGGTGACTCGCCACACACTGTTTAAACTAGATTCACATCCTTGTGGGTTTTAACTGCACTAGGTAAGGAGCCTATCTTAAAAAGCRATAATTATCACATCATTTTTACTGCTGTTCAGAAGTATCAATCCTCTTGCAGTTTAGCAGAATGTTTCTCATAAGCACATATATGTCTATTCTTCTATCAAAAAGACAGCTACAAATACCAAACCTTTAAGGTACTAAATAGACTTAAGCATGTATTTAATTAAAGTAAAAATCAAATCTATTTCCCTTGCCAGTAACTCTCCACCCATGGAATTCATCCTTAAGGTCCAACTTGTTCCTTCTTTGATGGACACAATTATCTTTCTATGCATGTATAAAGATCAGACTCCACTGCACCTTCTTTCCAATTATGTCACAGCAACTTAAACATTTAATACATATTCCTTTAAACAAATTTGAGTGAATTTATTGTATAAAATTATGATTGGCATGGTACAGAAAAGTTCCTTTTAATGCACATTTCCCATTAACTTGTACACAAATATTACAAGTATCAAGCAAAATGCAAAAGTCTTAAGAACTAATTCCATACTACAAAAGTGTTCACATAGTGAAGTTAACTCTGGTTACAAAATGTCATGGAAATAAAAGCACTTCAAAATACGTATTTGGGAAATGTTTCGAATAATCAACGCAACCTTAAGTTAGTTAGAAAATGCAAAGAAAGAGATACCCTCTTCAAAACACTATTGTTCATTTGGCAAGATGGAGCAAAGTTCAGATCAGTTCACTGAAGGATTGTTCTTTCCAATAAACAAACAGAAAAACCCAAAAAAAMCCCTATAGTTAAGAAAGGACTCAATTATACTATGATGACAAATAACGCCATCAAAAAGTTATCTGGCTCTCTTGTTTTCACACAGGAGCTGTCAGAGGCAGAGATGTGTAAATGAACACTTCCAGGTATATACAGATTGCCTTTTCAAAAAC